ATATCTCAGTGTATATATATATATATATATATATAAAACTATTTCTCTTAATGGTAAAATCTAGTCCTTTATAAAGACTGGTTCCAAGGCATCAAATTTAAGAGCACGTTTGAGGCATCATTAAATTCAAATCATTAGCTGCTGTCTAACCTTCTTTTTTTTTTAGATATTTTTATGATTATATTCTTTTGATATTCAGATTACATTTGAAAACGGAATGCACAAGCAAATAGTATACTTCAACATGTGCTTAAATATTTTTCTAGCACTTGTCTGCATTTAGATGCATCCCATTTAAGGTGCCATAAAGCTAATTGATTGAGAATTTGAAATAGCTTGACTTTGATTTTTGTATTTTGTTCTCGTTATAAACGAATTTTATATTTGCATTTTTGTTGGTATTCTAAACTTGCTTTTTCTTTTTTCGCATGGATCCTTGTGTGAATAGTTTATGCTAAAAGTTGTAAACCATGCTCTTTTTGTTTATGAAAGAATTCTGACTACATTATAAGTTTTATAGGCCTTAATGCCTTTGAACTAGTCTTAGTGATGCTTATAAAGGACATGGATAGTAATTATAAAAAATGACAAAGAATTTCATAAACCAAAAGTGTAGCAATTATTTCTCTAGACAATTATTGTAACAAAATGATGCTAACAGAATATTTTAATATGATATGTTGATCAATGAGTTTGTTCAACAAGTAGTCTTTTTAAGGTGCATATGGCTAAGAAGATCCTAGTTCTTTCCATGTGCATCGGGGCTTGAGCATCAATTTGCAGCTTCAAACCCCAATGATTGCCATTCTGACAAACATATTTTCATTTTTCACCAGATAACCTTACTATTGTTAACTTTTTGGCTATTTTTGATAATTCATGTCATCTGTTATGAAGCCACTTGAAACTGCTCTCAAACCATCCGTAAAAGACCTAAAAGGGTGAGTTTTCAATTACTATTATTGAAGAGCCTAGGACTTCATTGTATTGAAAAATAGATTTTTTTTTGTAAATCTTTAGAGTCCAGGATTATATGTTGCACTCAAAATGGAAGCAGATGAAGTTGTAGATCTACATTCTTAACCACTTATGATTTGTATTTTGCTTTCAAAAGAGCGCAATTGGTTTGTTTTTGTTTCAAATTACTTTTAGATAAGTTGAAGTGGAGATTTGTTTTTTAAATAAAACATTCATGATTTTTTTTCCCCTGGGTATATATTATATTTTTATGACCCATTTTACTATTTAAAGAAAAAAAAAAGTGATATACAACAACAACATCAAGCCTTTATCCCACTATGTGTGGTTGGCTCCACGAATTCTTTTTCTCCATGAATTCTTTGTTTTTGTTTCTAATATATTTTCTACCTTTCTTAACATAAGTCAAATCTAATACATCTACTTTCGTAATCGGGTCATCGAAAGGATACCGTTTTTATGTGACAAAACTATCTAAGGCGACTCTCTCTATTCTTACCTTCCACTGGAGCTACACCAACTTTTTCACGTATATGATCATTTCGTATCCTGTCTCTAAGAGTAAAGCCGCTCATCTACCTAAGCATCCTAATCTCTGCAACACTTAATATTATGCTTCTCTTTTAATGGCCAACATTTTGCACCATAAAAAATTGCAGGTCTAATCACCATCTTATAGGATTTTCCCTTAAGTTTGAGGGGTACCTTTTTATTACACAACAACCTATATGCATTCCTTCACTTCAACCATCCAACTTGAATTATATTAATAATATTCCCATCTATTTGACCATCACTCTGAACAATAGACCCATGATGCAACAAGAAAATATTGCAAAGACACAAATCTTTCTTTCTTACAACATAGATAAATATAAGCACTAAGATTGCAAATTAAGAGACAACTTCAACTACAAATGACAAACATAAATCATAAAACTTATATATATTTTAGAGAAGAAGGATACATGTGGAGTGGAAACTGTGGATAGAGAAGAAGAGATTAGAAGATCGAGAAGAAAGGAGAAGTGGAAAGAAGACCATAGCTCGCAAGCTATGTAAACCCGCAGGTTTTTACATTCCACAAATTTTCATTTCTAAAACCCTCTTAAAAAAGCCACAAAACAATCCTTATATAGGGGAAGAAAAGGTAAAAAAAGACAATTAATACATGTATTTAATGCACATCAAAATCGGCCAATAAAATATCATTGAAAACTGTAACAAGCAGGGGTCGAAGGGGCAGCCACCTGGGGAAGAAACCGAAGCATCAAAACAGTCCCAAAATGGGGGAAAACCGAAGCATTAAATGGCTCATAAAGGGAAAACTGAAAAGGCATCTTTTGGGAATTAAAATTGGCATGGGGAACACCAAAAGGCCTCTTTTGCCTACATCAACCCAAGATATCTAAGACGCGTATTCTTATTAATGACTTGAATCGCCCAAAGTTATATTCCCCCCACAATAACTATTATTACTAAAATATCTCTCCATATATTCAGTTTTAGATCTACTCAAATGAAATTCTTTAGACTCTAAGGTTGACATCCATAATTTAAATTTACCTTCAACTCCCTCTCTATTCTTTTCAATAAGAAGAATATCATCAGCAAAAAAACATACACCAGGGTACAACCTCTTGCAAATGTCTAGTTAAAAACTTCACTGTTAAGCGCGCTTATCTCGGAGAAATACTGTGATGGGTGACATCCTGTGAAGTTACACCAACAGGACAACCGTGAGACCCTTAGGCCAAAGTGGACAATATCTCGATAGTTATGAGTTTGGGCTATTACAATAACTTCCAAAATGTTGACTCACTAGTGAAAAGAGATTTCAAATTCTATGAACCTAACAATGCATGAATCATAAAAAAATCTATCTTCACTTCCTTGTTTTCACCAAGCTTCCAACAAGGAGACCCAAATGAGTCATTTTGTAGTTTTGAAATTCATGTGGATTTAGAATTATAAGCTTTGATGTTGTATGTATCAGTTTATCTTGTCTTGTGTACTTTTTTGGGCAATTATTGCTAATTGCCGTTGTTGTACTAATATCATATTCTCATTTATAACATTTCACTTGAAAAAAAAAATTGAAATTCTTTGCACATGGAACTGCTCCATGGCTTCATGATCATTAACAACATATTTGTACAGCAATTTGTCCATCTCTATGAGAGTGGCTGACTTTTACTTTATATCATATTTGAAAGATTGCATCGTAGCATTTCTATGCAATTTTTCCATCAAAGATTGTTTTATGTAGGAAGTCTGTTTTAATGAGGGTATATAGTCTTTTATTCACCTAAGGTTTTGTTTATATTCCAGTTGCTGCAGAAAGCAAGACAATGATTCGTATTTGTAAAGGGGATATGGGATTTAATAGCCTATTTCTGTCATTCGTATTCCTTAAGAAGTCCACATCATCCCCTTGATCCCATGAAGTTCCTGATATTATTTTAGTTGACAAAAACTGTGAAACTCTTGGATCAGGAAATTGGTGAAAAGGTTTCTGAAATTGGGAGCAGGTTGGAGTATCCTAATCTGACTAAAGACACTGCAAAGGAGATAGAAGCTCTATGGAATGATGCTGCCATTCAGGTAGTGTCTTTTAGATGTATATGGTCTTACTTAATTTGATGTATAGTTTTAAATTATAATTGTCTTATAGGTTCATGTTCGCTACTTCGCCTATTTAAGCTAAGTAGCAAAATGCAGAAGTTGGTTTTATTCGATACAATGGTTGGAAGTTTTATAGTTGATTAAACATTCATTTGCAGGAGACTTATTCTCGTGGAAATATTCTACAAATCCCAGACTGCACTCTATATTTCATGGACAATTTGGGAAGATTGTCTGAAACTGATTATGTTCCAACTAAGGTTCTTAAGCTTCTTTTCTTCCGTCACCTCAGAGTAACCATTCCTTTGTTTTTCATTTCATTCCACATTGTGGAGAAACTCTTCTTGTTCATTTTTCAGATCAATTGATACCAAAACGATTAATCTACACACACACACAGATATATATATATATATATATATATTGAATGTTGAATCATCCATGTGTTACCTTCCTGGTTGGACTTCATTTTTAAAGACACGAAGTTTGCTGTAGGCTGGACAATATTTCATTTCTGAATACTTTTATAAATATTTATCTATTGGATTAACAGGAGGATGTTCTTTATGCCAGAGTGCGGACAACTGGTATTGTTGACATCCAGTTCAGGTAGGAGAAGCTATTCAGATGTCTTCGCTTTGCAACATATCTTCATACCTTTCTCAATTACACTTGGTTGGCTGACATTCTTTGTTTACGTTCATTCCTATGTATAACTGAGTTTGAATTTAACTCTTTTTTAGCCCAATCAATTTAAAAATAAGAAGGGCAATTTTGTGTATATCATCAAAATCTCTGCTATTTACAAAATTACCATAATCATTTCTTTTTACAATATTACCACCTAAATCTAAAAATTCATAACTGTGCTATTAATTTTCAATTTCAATATTTTCAACAATTTCTTAATGATTTGGTGGCAAACAAACAAATACATGAGTACGGTCGTTTTTTTATTTGGTTTGAGTGATTATTTATATATAGACTTGATTTCAGTGGTATGTACGTAATTTTTTTCAAAAGAAAAATATGCTATTTTTGATCTATCCCTTTTGTTTCTAGCTTTTTGCATTAATCCTATAGCTCTATTTATAGTGCTGATTCTTCCACTCTCCATTGTTTATGCATGTATTATCTCTATTTTCTTTGTGATGGGACTGTTTTCACTTCAATGTTATTGTTATCAGCAATCCCTGGCAATTTCCTATGTCTACTTTACTCCAGCTTGCAAATTAGTGCCTTCTTTGTTATCCAACTCATATATCCATGCAAGATAGTATACGATTCTTACTGCTATTTTATCAAGTTTCTCGGCGGCAATGTTTTTTAATTTTTCAAACATTTTATTGGTTGCTCACTTCATTTTGCCAGTTTATATTTGTAAGAAAACTTTTCTATATATGCATTTTTTCTTTAGCGAATTGGGATAGTATTTGCTGAGCTGTTTATGTTGATGTTTGATTTATTGTGATATAAAACATATATGAGTTATCATGCCTCTAGGGACTGGAACTAATATTCAGAATGCAGTGGACTCTTTTTTTCTGTTTATTTTGTCGAACCAGGATCAGTGATCTGTTTAATCTGTTTATTGTGCTAAAATGATATTATAGATCTGCAAGGACTGGCTGAACTGTCTTGCCAGCTAGCTGAATGTTATACCTGTTGGCTGCTCCATTCGCACCCACCTTACTGTGTTTGAACTCAATACCCTTTGCAAATCTGATTTCTTCTGTTTAGGTGAGATTTTAGTAGTAATTGCATCTAGAAGGAGGTAAACATTTTGTCTAAGCATATTCATTGGAAGGCTAATAGGTTAGCTTTTTGGCACTTTGATATCCTACATCTTTTTTTATCCCACCTCAATTCTTCAACCCTGGCCACCATGTGCACTTGTTGGCGTCGGGGTGGTTTAGCTGGGGAAGTTGGATCGGATCCACACTTTTATTTCTATCTTTTTTTCTCCACCCTTATTATTCACAACATTAAGGTGCCTGTGATGTCAAGGAGCATGAAGGATGCTTATGTGCCTAATATTTATATCAGTCTATGGTAGTTGAAGGGTATCTAGGATAGAAATTGCAAAGGATAAGGAAAATGTATCCTTTTGTATGTCTCTATGCCTCTCTGTGAAGATACACGTGTACAACCACAACCACATCTATCTCTTTGGTATTGGATGGGGAATTGCAAAGATGGGAGGAAGGAAGATGGAGATCAAAGGCAGCTGGTTTCCAAGCACTTGAATAGAGCCCGAATGAGAGAGGGAGATGATGGGTGGTAGGAACTAGGAACAATTGCTAGTGGCGAATGAGTTGCTCCAAAATTTTCTATCTCATATATTTGAAAATTATCAGCTTCTTTTTTTAATTATTTATTTTTCGATTTGTTAAATCCATTGAATCACCAGTTGGTTATGCAATTAGATCATCGACATGCCAGTGTAGATAATATTGCATTTCAACACTCTTCAGGTTTTATGGATGTTGTTTTTTTACCAGTGATTCTAACTTCCAAGATGTATTTTTTTGCTTACTTTCTTCATTTCATTACATGGTAATCTTTGATGCAATTTAGCTAGTCTAATTGGAGGCTTCAAGTGTTGCATATTTCTTATTAGCATAAAGTACTAATCTACCCGTTTATTGTTTAAAAATGTTGTGCAGCCCTTTTGGAGAAAGTAGAAAAAGTGGGGAAGTTTATAGGCTTTTTGATGTTGGAGGCCAGAGAAACGAGCGGAGGAAGTGGATTCATCTATTTGAAGGTGTTACAGCTGTAATCTTTTGTGCTGCAATTAGCGAGTAAGCCTACAATTTTAAAAGCCATAAACTATTTTTGCATTGGAGTTAAAATTATCCGTCCAGTCATATCTATACACATGCTTTGTTTCGGGGTGGGGACACATGGATACACATGCACACAAAGAAAGACATACATAGATATTGAGATATACATAGGCACATGAAGATAATTATGACCTAGAGTTAAATAGGCAAGTTATTGGTGGTATTTCAAATGTATTCTAATGTTTGATTAATGGCATTCATGGGATAGAATGGACTTGAAATGACTTGTATATGTTTCCATCAAATCATTATGACAAATGATGAGATTTGGTTCATAAGTAATTTCATGGTATACTTGAAAGATCAGAGAACATTAAAGTACAATTAGGATTAGCATGGCCACTCTCCTCTTAGAAGGTAAGTCTATCTCTCTCTCACATAAGCACTCATGCATGCACATCATCATTAACCTTTTTCTTTACTTTTTTGGGGTAGGTCTAATGAATCATCTTCCAGTCCTGTATTCATTCATTTTGAATGGTGCATGAAGTGCTAACTTTGTCTTCAACAAATTTTTACATTTTTTTAAACCATAGCATTGCTATCTTTGTTTACTCTCTCTCCATCATAGGCCTTCCATATTAATTTTATTTACACATATTATTGATGAAGCTTCTATTCTCCATTGTACATCCTGAATCTCTAAGTCTATTTTTGATTAAATTAACTCACACTGGCATCACTTCTTTATCGTCTCTCACTTTACATAATTTTACTAATTCATCTTAATTCTCCTTTCTACAATTCAATTTGACTATTGATAGCTTTTTGGTTGCCCAACACTATGATACCATATCATGCCTAACTGAAATTGCACTATTTACGATATCATATAATACTCAGGCCCTTTTCCATTTAAATCATTTTATTTTAATTGTAGATTATGCAATCATCAATATCCAAATTATTTTGTATAATAAATTCAAAGTATTTGAATCTATCACAGAAGGATATAAATTAATCTTCTAGCTATATATATATATATATATATATATATATATATATATATGTATGTATGTATGTATGTATGTATGTATGGTAATTCTCAATTTCTGAACCCACTAAAATGTTCCCAACTTTTGTTTTATTAATTCTTGCATGAAAAATAAACATGAGTGCAAAGCAAAGTGCGGAAAGAAAATTGCAAAAGACTCTGAATGGATAGACTCAAATTTCAGTCTATTATAAGATTGACTTGGCTACATCCATGACCATTCACTATAATATAGAATGGTACATCAGAGTCTTTGATGTAGAACTATATGCTTTAAAATGATGAAATAAGAATTTGCACGATTTCTTGAATTAAGCATGTACGATTACCACTATTAGCAATCAAAACGATGATAGAAAACAAAAGAGGGGTGCCTACGTTTAGGCTAAGCCACATGCCAAACACTTGGAGATTCAAAATAAGTAGAAATTCAATCACATGCAAAGTAAGTAGCTTTCAACAAAAATCCCTAATCTAACAATAAGATTAGGAGCAAATAAAGTGCACTCAATCCTACGTTTACTAAGCTTCGGCAACGGCGAAACAAAATTCCTACGTTTACTAAGCTTAGGCAAAGGTGAAGCTCGGCTCCTTATAAATCTCCATCACCTACAAGATTAGGGGATTAGAAAAGTAAATAAAAAGGGGGAGAAGTTCACCCAAAGGAATATGTTGAACAAAGCTCCAATGTGGTGTTTATATGCTTGAGAGGAAGTAGGCAGCCACATGCAACCTCTAGCTGCCTTGGGACAGCAGTTTGATGATCTTTGGTTGGTGGGCAGCAAAGTGTCTTTGGACTGGTTTCTCTAAACAGCAAAATGAAGCTCTTGAACAGCACACTATGACCTCCGGGTGGCAAGGCAGCCACCAAAACAATCCAGAATTTCTGGACAGCAATATTGGGTCTTCAAGGATGCAGGACGGCAAGTCAATAATGTTGGAAGATGTGGACGGCCAATTGGATTTTCCAAACAGCAGTTAAAGGTCTTCCAAGAGGTGTGGTTGCAAGACAATGCAGGAGATTTCAGGCTGCAGTTGGAGGAAGGAGTAGAATCACTGTCCCGTGGAGTTTGTGGAGTTTATGGAAGAGATCCCACGGGAAAAACCTTGGGGAAAATTCAGCCAGCAGGGATGTAAGGCAAAGATTTAATTCCAAAGATAAAAAGGCTGATTTTAGTAATATTTAGGCGGTGCAGGCATAGAGGAGAATTTTGGCCAGGCTAAGGGATGGAATTTGTAATCTTTCCAAATGCACATATGGGTTTTTGGAAATAAATCTTTGCATTTAATGTAGAGGGTAGGCCAGCGGCTGAATAAAGAGAGAGGGCTTTGAGTAGTTATTTATTGCTTGCTATTTTGGGATACATAAATTAGGAAAGGCAATTTTAAATCCCATTCAATCATAATTTGATTTGATTGAATTTTAAAGACTTTCCTAAAATAGATGTTGTATATTAGGAAATATTTTGAATTTCAAATCACTTGGATTTGAATTCAAATATAATCCTAAATATATTTAACCCATATTAGGAAATAAATAAAAGAGGGGGAAATCAAAAAAGGGGAATAGGGGGAAGGTGGCCGGCGGCTATGGGGAAAATTTGTGGAGTTTGATGTGGGGAGGAAGTTGAAAAATTTGGAG